TGGGTGGGGGGGGGGGGGGGCGGGGGGGAGGAAGTACCTGTCAGTTGTAATGCCGGTGCTAATGAGGCTAGATGAGTGGGATGGAAGTATCCCATACATAGTTTTTGATGTCAATTGAGTGTTGAACACAAGAAAAGCAAGTTTTATAACGGCTCATCCAGTTCATGTCTTTGTTGAAGTGATAGAAAGAGAGTTGAATTTGCATATGAAGGCCAATTCCACACTCTCTCTCTGTAGCTGGTTTTTGTAGTTGGTTTTTGAAATTCCTTTGTTTAATAATGATTACTTTTAAATCAATTAATGAGTGTCTAGGTGGGTTAAAATGTTCTTCTACAGTAGGGGTGGGCAATAATTTTTCTCCAGGGGCCACTTCAAAAATTTTTGAAGTAGCCCCAAGCCACCCTGAAAGGGGCAAGGCCTAAACAGGAAGGGGCAGGACTACCCCTCTCCCCAGACCATGATTGGTCTGGAGGTGGGGGAGCCTCTTTCCCCCCTTCCCACTAGGCACCCATACCCTGGAAGAGGCTTGGCACGCTCTCCCACCCCCAGGCCAATCAGGGCCTGGAGGCGAGGGAGCGCGGGACGCCTCCTCCCCGCAGGGCAGGGTCAGGGTTGGCCTGGGAGTGGGGGCGCATGCGAAGCCTCCTCCACTCTCTCCCCCGCCCTGCGAGCCACGCACGATGCTGTTCATTACACGATGGGAGGAGGCTTCACACGCTCCTCTGCTCCCAGGCCAATAAAGGCTTGGGGGTAGGGGAGCGCATGAAGCCTTCTCCACTCTGACCCCACCCTGCGAGCAGCACGTTGGCAGGGTGGGAGGAGGCTTCACGTGGGCCTCCGAATGGCGAGCCGCATCCAGCCTGTGGAGACCCTTTTGCCCACCTCTGTTCTACAGGTTTTTGCATACAACCATTTCTGATATGTGACTTGTGTCCATTTATCCTTTGTCATAGAGACTATCCAGTTTGGTCAATATATATAGCAGAGGGGAATTGCTGGCATATATCACATTACATGCTGCTGGAAGAGTTTCTATTTAATTACCACATCTGTAAGTTGCCATGATTTGTGTCAGTGTGGGGAAAACTGTAAAAAATCCACACTGGAAATCAATCTGCATTGTGAATTCTCCTCTCTAAACTCTGGGCCAAATTCTACCCTTGCACAGGTCTAGGCAACTCTTACTGGAATCGATGGCAGATTCATGAAATGTATGAAATGTTGGACTGGGGTGCTTTTGGATATCCTAATAGCAGTAGAGGCCAAACACAGGGGATTGTGTCCTGGGGCAGTGGACTGGGGTGCAGAAGAGAAGTGTGATCTGAGGTAGGGGTGCAGGGGTTTGGGTTTTGACCTGGGACAAGGGATTGGGGTGCATGGACTTGGAGGGGTATGGGTGCAGGAGAGGATTCTGACCTGGGGGAAGGGTGTAAGAGGAAGGAGGGACTAGGAGGGACTTGTGACCTGGGGCAGGAGTGCAGGAGGGGTTGCAGGGATTTGCACGTGATCAGGGACCACGGATTGGGGTGGAAAGTCTTGGAGGGGGTTGTGACCTGAGCAGGAGTGTAGGAGGGGATGCAGTGTCTGGGAATATGTATGGGGGCTGGGGTAGAGGTGCAGAAGGTTGAGTTACATAGGCTAGGGGTGAAGAGAGTTGAGGGAGGAAGGGGCTGTCGTGTCAGAGGCAGACTCCAGCTGGGATGTAACAATATGGTTTTTCTGTAGCCATATTAGAAGGCCTAAACTAAAGCCTTCTTCTGCAGCCAGACTGAAAAGCAGGAGCCATTAGCTGTAAAGCCTGGAGTCACCCACTCACATTCCATCTAAATTGCATTAAAATAGTGTCACACCAGGCTGTGAGAAGGGGATCCTGTCCTAACTGCACCCACTGTCACCAGATAAAGAAACAGATACCAAGGCAGGTTGAGAAAACTCAATTAACAACATTTCATCTGGCCAGAAACTGTTTACCAATAGTTGAGGTTGTGGAATCCGCATTCTATGATTATTGTCCTCACTTTCCTATTGTTTGTGTGATCTCTGTCTGGTTTGTAACTGTTTCTGTCTGCTGTATAATTAATTTTGCTAGCTGTAAATCAACTAAAGTGGTGGGCTATGATTGGTTAGGTAATTCTGTTACAGTATGTTATGATTGGTTAGTAAAATTATACAAAAATAATTGGTTATGGTATAGCTAAGCAGGACTCAAGTTTCACTATATAAACAGGGGTCCAAGAAGGAGACAAGCTAGCAAAAGGAAAGAAGGAAAGAAGGAAAGAAGGAAAGAAGGAAAGAAAGAAAGAAAGAAAGAAAGAAAGAAAGAAAGAAAGAAAGAAAGAAAGAAAGAAAGAAACGCCAAAAAAAGGAAGGAAGACCTGGAAGAACTCACCTCCAAGACACAGCCTAAGACCAGAGCTGTCAGAATTCCTCTGCACAACCGTGATGTGCAGCAGCTAAGATCCAGAGAGACTGACCTTGCCTGGCCAACAGGGGAAGTCTGCCTGCCTTTAACAGGATTGATGAGCAAGATACTGTGTGCTTACCATGTGTATTCTGCTTGCTTGGGAATTATCAATAAATAGAGAATAAGAATATTACTGTCTAAGGCTCTTTCAGTGGCAAAAGATCCTGCAAACACGCAGGAAGTTATGCTCTGAGCTCTAGGAATTGGGTAAGGGTGGGTGTGTAAATTAACAGGGTTGCACCTTGAGCACTAGGAATTGGGTAAATGTGTGTGTCCCTAAACTGTGGAAGGGATAGAGAAATTTGTGCGGGTAACAGGGAGACCTTACCTCGGAGGCTCCAGCCAGCATCCCAGCAGGTTCCTTAGCCAGGGTCCCTTCCACACCCTGTACAAGCTCAGGGAGGGGCGCATGTTTGCTACTGTGAATGCTGTGAGCCTGGAAGAGGAGGGGTGCTTCTAAATGCTGCCCGTCATGCAAACAGGCAGCTATTATTGGCCAGTTTCTGGCCAGTGGGAGCTACTGGGGGTGGGAGCAGTATGAGAAGCCTCTTGCTCCCCCCGCCTCCCATGGGCTCTCAGCATTCAGAAATTAACATGGCCCCGCAGATGGCTTTACTGAGTGCCAAGTAAGGGCAGGGCAGGGAGAGAGCCAGCTGAGGTTCTCACAGGCCAGATTCAGTGGCTTGGCAGGATGGATCTGGCCTGTGGATCATATTTTGCCCGACGCTGTATTAGAGGCTGTGGGAAGAAGTGCGGGAGTGGATTGCTGTGCTTCCTTCAAGGGGGAAATCCCACTTATATTTATGTAAGATTAACCAGAGAAGACAGAGCTTTAAAATGTAGTATATACATTTTTGTATAAATAATGCAAAAGGAGAATTTGGCTTTCAATTTCCTGGAAACTCAAGCTACTGAAATTACCTAGCAAAAAATCAAGCTGAAGCTCATTCTGCATCATCCCATAGTTTCAGAAATAAGACTCATAGCTGAGTTCATTAAAAGCTGTTAATGTGTATCCAAAGGAAAAATTTGGCCCTAATACTGTCCCTTGTAAGGTCAGCATTTCTAGAGATTTTAAATTTTTTGATGGTAATTTCCAGGCCCTTCTTTATGACAAAATTAATAGATGCATACAAGTAAGCATGTGACCTTAAAGAACTCATTATACTAGATTTCCTTTGAATGCCTTATTACAACTTTAATTATATGGCAGTCACAGGCCATTAACCCTTTTGCTTTTGTAAATGCTAAAGTGCTATTTTATTTTTTAAAAAGTTAACTGTCGGATTCATCAACATATGACCATGTGAAATATGACTTTTCAATCAAATGTCACTTAAAATCTCAAAGCATTTTTGGAAAAAAAGCAGTCCAATATTTATAGTATCCACATATATATGTTTGCTATTCTCACTGAAGAAGGCACCAGCTTTGTGTTCCCATGCAACAAAATCCTGTCAGCACAGCTAATCCCTATGGATGTCAGAAGAATAAGCTCCAGAGGAGTAAACAAGTGCACTGTCAAAACCATGTCATCAACACACACGCCTATTCCTAGTAATATTACACACTCCATTGCCTCCAATAGCAACACAGGAAAACCAGAATCCATGTTCAGAGTCATCTGATCTTGAGGAATTGACACAGCATGGCTAACAATCCCACAGAATTCAGAAACAACACTGGATTTTTAAAAGGCAGCTTTATTTTTTGTGATGGATTTGAAGCAGATTAAATTATAGAAAAGGATAGGCTATCAGGTCATGATTTGTATGCTACAGCTGTCCAGTTTGAGTTGACAGACACTCTTTGCATGGCCTGTGGACTAAATAATAAAGACAGAGAAAAACTCTGAGCTGGACAGTAAAAAATAAATAAATAAATAAAATTGTAAAAGAGTGTATGTAGAGGAAATAAATGAATGCAATAACAACCAAAGCTGATGGAGTTACTCACTAGAACAATTAATTGAGTTCCTTTTAAAACTTTCTAAAATGAAGGTATAAAAGGAACCAAGTTGGTTCATAGACCAGAACCTCACTTCAAATTGGACTATTCCTTCCATAAGCAGGACGTGCGGACAATCATGAAAGGTGAGCTGCAATTTACTTTTTAATCCTATAGTGAAAGAATATTGCTTTGTAAAGAAATATTGTCTTTGCCAACCAGTGTTTATTTTTAACTTTACAGTGGAAATTATTGTTTAAGCTGTTTTTCTTGTTTCTGAAGATAACTGTTGCAAAATACCAGGATGATACAGAATGAACACAGAATTCAGGCATTGTAGCAAAAATTTCAACTACATTTCCTTTCGAGTTTTAATTAATAAGTGGTTTGCAAGGTAAACTTTAGTATCAGAAATCCAAACCTTTCATTACAGATTTAATGCGTTTAATTCTGTAATGTTCTTCTGTTCTTTTAGGATATTTTCCCGTTACTAATCAATGTTTGAGCTCTACAAGTCAATATGTATAAAAGTCTCAGGGGGTAGCAGTGTTAGTCTGTAACTATAGGACTATTCATTTTTTAAAAAAAGTCAATATGTAGTGTACCTTTTACTTGCCAAGGCTTTTAAAATATCAATGGATGAGAAGCATTTTCTATTTTGAACAGAGAATATTAATGATTTGATGCTCTTCAAAGACAATATTAAAAAAGATTTATCACTCTACTGCTCTGATTCTCCTTAGCCAAAATAATTTATATGGGATCAACATCCAAGACTCTCCCATGTATCTTTATTATTCCATCATATGCACATTAACATAGCTTTAGGCAGCATTGATGTTTTTAAAAGAATAGTGTTTACCACATATGTCAGGCACAACACATTATTATTTCAGTCAAAGCCAAGTTTATCCCTGTCAGAAGCCATGGGAGTAGATAATAATTTTAAATATTAAATATTATTGAGTACCCGTGTGACCTGATTTATCATTTTAACAACTCTACTTGACAAATGTTTGCTTAATGGATAAATGTTCAACTATTTGGAAAATACAGCTAACATTCAGATAAGGGCACTTCAATTAAGAAGCGTAAACATGGGTGGATATTTTAAAGAACAGACCTTAAAGGAATCAGACTTACTGGAAACTTCTATTAAATTCTCTGTAGTGAGCCCTTTGAAAGTTATGTTTTTCTATAAAAGAACAAAAGTTTAATTCCTCAAGGTGCAACATATAACCAAAAAAGTGATTAACCAGGAACTGTGCTTGCACCTTTAACATACAACCTTGGAATCATGATCACCATAGAAATATAAATACTACAATTTAATATTTTGGGAACTCTATGGAAGTGTTTCTTTCCTATGGGTATGCAGTGCTAGAAATTCATCATATTTTTATGGCAAGGGGCCAATGGTTAAGCTTTCTAAAAGTTATTTACATGTAAGATGAATAGTAGCTTACTTTAAAAGTACAGAAAAATTGTTTTTGTCTACATTAGATGAAGTTTGAAAAATGTTATCTAGAGCTTATTTATACTATTCTGATGTACTGTGAAACAAATGTGCATTCCTGTCCATTTCAAAATGTACATCTTTGGCTATACCATCAGTGTGCATATTACCGAAATACACCACTTATAAATTAGTTTCACCACTTTTTACTTCTTGTACAGGTGACCTCTTTTTGGTTTCAAGTATTATTGTACTATTGCATATGGTATGTGGATGCCCAGAAAACTGCCTATGCCATCAAGCTTCAAAGACAGTGGATTGCAGGAATCAAGGACTTGTTGAAATTCCCTCACGCTTACCTCCTGAAACTCTGATATTACAGTTGCAGAATAACCAGATTTGGAGAATCAATCAAAATGCATTCAGTGAAACCCCTTTGCTCAAAATTGTAGACTTGTCAAATAATTCTCTTTCAAATTTGTCATCGGGTGCTTTCCAGGGACTACAATACATACAGGTTCTAAACCTAACCAAGAACCTGATTCGCTACTTAGACAACAAGACTTTCAGTTCGCTCCCTCAATTAAAAGAACTGGACCTGTCATTCAACAATATATTAAATTTGCCTGAAACTCTAGGAAATAATACAGGAAACATAACTTTATTGTCGGTTAAGTATAACAAGCTTCAGAAACTGGACAGAATTCTGCTGGAATCCCTTCCAAACCTGAAAGTTGTTCTTTTCAAGAATAATCCCTGGCAATGCACTTGTCATGTCATTGGCCTTAAACTGTGGTTGGAAAGCTTTTTATACAGAGGTAAGTAATTTTCTCCAGTAGATAAAATAGTAAGAAATTGATCTAATATATACTTGACTTGTCCTCAGGGGAGCTGGCAGCCATGCAAGATCCTGGGGTAAGGTGGGGGGCAGTTCTGTGCTCCAGAAGAGACATGGCCTCGGGCAGCAGGGCAGGGACAAGGGCAGCTGCGCTCCCACCACAGCACTGACTGGTGCGTGCTGCAAGGTGCACCTGCCTCCCCAGGCAGCCCAAAGACCCTCATAGAGTGAACAGTACAGCATTGTGGTAGCAATTTAAATGGCCTCTGGCTCCAGGCACCACTGCTGCTGCAGCTACAGCTGAAACCCCAAGTCCCTATGAACCACCGAGCCCAGGGACAGTTGCTCCCCTCCCCCATTGCTGTGCCTGCCTCTTCTAACCACTATGGCTCTGATGTCAGAAAACACCTAGGAACACAATTGAATCTCTGCTCTGGACTACAGCTCAATAAATAACTGATTTTTCAGAATCCTGGAAGTTCAAGAACATAAAAAACTCAAATTGGGTTGAATCAATTACCATTTTTTTAAAAAATATATTGGTGAATCAAACATACCATGTAGTTTAACAAAAACTTTATCTCCAAGCTTTTTCAAAAAAGACTCGATTAAAAAAATAGACTACGAGGAGGTTAAGGTAACTGTTATTGTGCTATACTATTTTTAGACCTGTGCTTTGAGCTCTCACCTGGCATGTAGGAGCCAGGTTCAAATCCCCACTTTGGAGAAGGGGTTTGAACCTGGCACTGGTAAGTGCCCATCAGGTCTCTCTCAGGCTGTGTCTAGACTACATGCCTCTGTCGGCAGAGGCATGTAGATTTGTTTGTTCAGCAAAGGTAAATGAAGCCGCGATCATTTAAATCGCGGCTTCATTTACATTTACATGGCTGCCGCGCTGAGCCGACAAAGAGCTGATCAGCTGTTTGTCGGCTCGCCGCTAGTCTGGACGTTCCCCCTGTCGACATCAAAGCCCTTTGTCAGCAGCCCCGTTATTCCTCGTGGAATGAGGTTTACCGGGGCTGCCGACAAAGGGCTTTGATGTCGACAGGGGGAACGTCCAGACTAGCGGGGAGCCGACAAACAGCTGATCAGCTCTTTGTCGGCTCAGCGCGGCAGCCATGTAAATGTAAATGAAGCCGCGATCATTTAAATCGCGGCTTCATTTGCCTTTGCTGATCTGTCTAATCTACATGCCTCGGCCGACAGAGGCATGTAGTTTAGACGTACCCTCAGTGTCTCCTGCTAAAGCCATCTCCATTTATATAAATATTGATTGAAGTAGGGACCTGAACTTGGGACCTGAACTTGAGTGCCCTGATCACTAAGTTAAAACTTATAATACAGAAATACACAATGCCACAGTAAAGAAAAATGCAATTTATATGTAGATTAAAAGCAGCACAGTTATTTTGCCATATTTCCACCTGCATTTATGTTCTTCCATTTATAAATCTCTTCATTATTCTATTTAAAAGGAGACTAAGCCTTAACTCTGCTTTTCTGCAAGTCAGAAGTTCTCTCTCTCTTTGCTTTTCCATGGCATTGCAATGCTTTGTTCTGAGCAGCTTTAGAATCCAAGATGATTAGATGAAAGAAAAAAACCATTTATAATTCTAAAACATTTAAGGTTTTTTAATTTTATCTGTTTTATATTCAGGGTAGGCAGTGACAGGTATTTAACATTAAAGGAAGACCTGGCACTGATAGCTGCAGGAGCTTGTCAGCCTTTGAGAAATCAAAAGAAAAAGATAATCCTAATTTTTCTCAAATAAATGTTGATGCTTGAATGTGATATACATTTTTCCTTGGTTTCCTATCTGTATGTAACCTGAACGCATTGAGACCACTGACAAGGGAGATTGAAGTCAGCTATGTGGCCTTAGCTGAGAGACCATTGGCTTTTAGCTTATGCTGTAGAGGCACATGACTTTAGCCTCTAAGGTCTCTCATTCATTTCCTCCTGCTGAGGGCCTGGGTTCATCAGTTTTACAAGAGGGGGCTCGCAAAGCCAACAAAACCAGTTCATAAGCAGGATAGATTGAACCTGCTGCCTTAGGAGCTAAAGCCATATGCCTCTACAGAACAAGCGAAAAGGCAACTGGCTCTCAGCTAAAGCTGTAAGGGAGATTTTACTCTCCCTTACCAGTGGCCTCTGTGCCTCTGGGTTACATGTATATAGGTCAATATATTGGCATTGTACAATGCAACAGCCCACGTGATAATACTCTGTGTCTTACGTTTGTACTCTAACACAATTGCTATTCAGTATCCATTCACTGCTTTCACTCATATGGGCAAGAATCTTAAAGATGAGATTTGGATTGCGCACAGAAGAGTAGAAGGCTGAAGAGATGAGAATGAAAGGAAACCTGAGATGTTATAACCTAACACAGATTGCCCTTTGCTGTGCCTAAATAGAATAGCTTTATTCCTTCAACAAACAGAAGAATTACTGTGGAACTAATCTTCACTCCTTATTTTACCTTCTAATTAATTATTTTTAAAAGTGAATGTGTGCGAGAATAACTTTAAAACTAGCAAGAATAACATAAAATGTTAAACTTTGGTTACTAGAAATGTTGAAAGTTCTATGCACACTTCCTTGTTAAAATTAAATGTATGTAACCAACAATCTGTATTTTCTATTAGGGTATGTCTAAACTACATGGCTCCGTCGACGGAGCCATGTAGATTAATTTACTCAAAAAAGAGAAATGAAGCGGCGATTTAAATAATCACCACGTCATTTAAATCAAAATGGCCGCCACGCTGTGCCGATCATTGACTGAGCCATGTAGTATAGACACACCCTTAGTGAATTGGTAACAAATAGTCAGGTCTCCAAATTTTAAGAACCATCCAGTTACCCACTGACAAACAGAGTTTCCATAGGTAATCACTAAACTACACAAACACACACTCACCTCAAAATTGTATTTTTATTTCAGGATTACCACCAAGAGAAGAGACATTTCTTTCTACGGTATCTCTCATTTAATGCTGTGGCCTTATTTCATTAGGACCACCAAATCATTGGGCCAATTGCTCGCCATGCTCAGCGCAGGTAGAAAGTAGCATTTATAGTATAACTGAAGGAGGTGTTTATCATAAGGGGAATCCCCAGCACAAGTTAACCACTGAAGCTGGGCACAACTTAAAGTGGTCTTGAGGCTGTTCTAAATTGTGCTGAAGGCACAACTCCCAGGACATCTAGGAGTGGGGAGCTGCAGGATTGGTATAATAGCACCCACACAGCCATCAGTGTCAGAAGCAGCACCGGGACAGATAAAGATCTGGTCCGCTGGATTTATGTTAGAGCATATACATTTAATTCCATCAATACAGTAATTAGAAAATGCCCAGTACCACTAGGTAACAGGTGGAAGGTGGTATTAGTTATAGAAAATAATCAGTAAAATTAAACTGGTCTTTTAAGCCAGTAGTGATATGTGGAGCTTATTAAAATATTTAATGGGCTGAGTTGATAGAGTGTTTCTGTAATTTAACTAAATAATTAGACTCCTAAGAGCTCTCTCTCCTGGGGCTAAGGTAATAATACTTTCTGGACTGCTAAAATATTAAGTCATTTCTTTCAGACTTTTGTTATATTTTGCAAAAGAAAGTAATGATCCAAGATAAGCATATCAGATTATCTTAATTACCGTGCCAGTCACACAGCTCCTTTAGTTTATTTCAGAAACACAGCCATTGTTTGTCAATTCAGTGATTTCCCCCCCTTGCCTCACCTTTGCTTTACACGAATTCACACAAATGACCAAAAAAAAGTGAAATACAACATACAAACCCATTTTCACAACCAGTGTTGGAAGAAGTCTAGATATTCTATACGCTAATATTTCTCTAAAATTATGCTTGTGTGACTTGTACTAACCAACAGGCATCACAATTTTGAAAAGCTCTGGCTCCAGGCACATACATACAAACCTCAGCAGAATATAGCTAGAGACCGTCACTTGAAGATGAATAAAATATTTCTTGAACTGAATGCAACTCAAGCAATTGATTCTTGTTGCATATGGTTAATTATAGAAAAGGCTTTAGTCAAAGTACCATTCTAATTCTCCATTCCAACACACCCTTCTCAGGCACTCAACTATGGAGGATTAAGAGCTGCACAATTTGGATCATTAGCCATATCCACACTAAAGAAGTGCATGTTTGGACATCTTTGGAGCAAGGCTTTTGATCTGACCTGTTACAGACTAGGACTTCAGCTCCTAGGCTATGATTCATCTTGGAAGGTGTGGCCTTAGATATTTGGTTTGGGCCCATCTTAATTCACTCTCTTCTAAGACAAAGTCTTTTTAAGATTAAAATCTCCATGCCTGGCCACAGAGAAAAGGTGGAGGGAGGGAAAATTTCAGCTGACTTTAGTTACTTTTGAATTATAGAAACATAAAAACATGCAATGGCTCTATCCATAGCCAGTAGCTATGGACCTTAATACGTGGGGTGGGAAAGAAGATGAGTTTTGAAACATATGCTAGAGACTGATCCTCCACCCCTGCTTCACCCTCCCCCTCCCCCACACACCAAGTTCACCAGTCCTCAAGGTTGCATGGAGCACGGGTCACTTGCAAGTTTAAACTAGTCTAAATGGTGGATTCTCTATAATTTAAAGGCTTTAAATCACGAATTGAGGAATTCAGTAACTCAGCCAGAGGTTATAAGTCTATTATAAGAGTGGGTGGATGAGGTTCTGTGGCCTGCAATCATAATGGTCCCTGCTGGCCTTAAAATCTATGGGTCTATAATAAAATCCACAGCATATGCCATATGCACAATTTTGAAATGAGAAAATATAACTGTTATACTTTTCTAACCTTTGTATGGAAAATATTGGTTTTTGCATATAATATGAATGGTATTATGCTTTGATAAACTATTCAGAAAAAAATCAGAGCATACAGAATTTTTTATTTTCACAATTTTCATCATGGCAAAGGGGTAGCACAGTGTTAGAACCATCACTACTTCATGGAATATTTCTGTGAATTCTAACAGGAAATGTTTACCAAAGAGACATTTTTTCCATTTATATTTATACAAAAGTAATGGTAACAATATGTCTTTGTTTTCAATTATGGCTTTATTTCTGCCTATTTTTATTCTATTGGGCAGGCGATGGGTGGTTTTACTATAAATGCTGAAAAAAGTAGAGGTAAGTTTACTTCTAATGAATTACTGGCTACAAGTAATTGCTTATTTAAGTATATAAAAGTGTTATAACCTTAGTCTTTAACTAACTGGAAACATACGCAAAATAATATGTGCCTATAAATTCTTTTCAAAGTAGAAAAATGCAGCTGTTTATAAATTCCACTGGGCTTCTCTGAGTTTTTACATACAGAAAATTCAGAAAGTCAAAGAGCTCAAGACTTTAATATATTCTTTTCAGGAGGAATAAGTGACGGCATTATATGCTCAACACCAGAAAATCGGAAGGGAAAGGACCTCCTCAAAGTTCCTTATGAGATGTATGGGGCATGCCCACCTACAGCTACTCATGTTCATCCAGCTAATATTCATCACCATAACTCTGAGCACAGAAGTTCTCTGAAGCATGCTCAGCACAATGAAAATGAAGAGAGTAGCCATTCAGACTGTGAACCTAAACCAAAGCCAAAGCCGGTTAGTTTGCGTCATGCAATTGCCACCGTAGTGATAACTGGAGTTGTCTGTGGAATTGTATGTCTAATGATGTTGGCAGCTGCTGTGTATGGTTGTGCCTACGCTGCAATTACTGCTAAATACCACAGAGAAAACTTGGCCCCAGTAACAGAGCAGGGGAGTTCTGAGGAAAAAGAGCCATTTGATAGTTCCTTGGCTTAAGTTACTTTTGACCTTTGGTTTCACTCAAGTAAGACTCCTCATTTCAGTCAGAAGCTTAGTGTCAAATAGGACTGATTTACTTGTTACTCCTGTATTTGCTTTTTCCACATTAAAAAAGTTTTTGTAAAATAGAAGTTCATTCCTGGGAAATGATTGATGTTGAGAGGTTAATCAGATGAAATAAATATTTTTTTGTGCATGCATACATTCTGAAGTATTACCTGAGGACGTGAGTTTGAGATTAATTAAATCTTTATGGTACCACTTTAAAAATTTCTGTTCAACATCAACTATTCCCTTGTGTAACATTAATTCAATATATTGCAATTAGAGACAGTCACTAGATATCACAAGTGAGATTTCTCGAATGGAAAAAACAAAGCAATTTTAAATGTCTTGGTAAACCTTGCCTAATACATACCTAATGAACATGCCACAATAACCTTTAAGTACAGGCCATGCTACATAGTAGTAGAATTGGCCAAAATGTTCACTCCAAGTAAATGACCCAGCAATTTTTCTAAACAAATAATCTGCAAGCACATTTTCCCCTATTCAACCTTCTTGACTAGTTAAACATCTTAATGTAGCATCCACCACGTAGTTTTTAAGATGTAAAATCCATAATTAACTATAGCAATTCAGGTCTAGGCCATATCCAAAGAAAGAAACATCGTTCTCTTACTTGGGGAACAGTAAACAGGTGTGGGGATGATGGGGCAAGATGGAAGAGAAAGGTTGCATCACAGCATTATGAAACAAGAATTTGAGAAAGGGCATTGATAAAATATAACAAAATATACACATAGAAGCTACCCTTTATTCCTCAACAAAAGACTAATACACATAACCACCACAGAGACTTCTCATTATCTTAATTCGTAAAACTTCAATTTGGCAACATTCATAACAGGAATAACAATGGATTTGGTACTGAAATTAATATAATTGTGTGTTTGCATAGTCTCATTTTTTTTCTGATGGCTGGTTAGATTCCCCAGAGAGTCTAACCTAGCAGAGTGTTCCAGCAGCAGAAAGTTTGCTGTAAGAGGAAGTTGCAGCCACAAAATCCTCAACACCAGAAGGGAAAGGATATCCTTAAACTGCAGAAACATTTTTCACATAAAATATTTGATTAGGGAGCTCACTGCACCATTTAAATCTAGCATTAGATTATTATAATAGGTACATCTACATTTTCTAGCCTGGATTTCATTTTCAGAATTAGCATTTTGCAACAAAAAAGGAAGCTCTTCTTAACTAGGGTAGTAATACAAGGGTATTGGATAGAATTTTACCATCAGTGCACTAAATCAAAAGCCTGAGTGCCAAACCAGTCAAAGGCCTTTTACACATTTACACACACACGTCACCCATGCAATCAGAATGCAGATGTAAAGCTGAAATGTTTTAAAGCTCCAATTGATTTCAGTGGAGCCAGGATTTCACAGACAGTGATCCCAGTAACCTAGGACTCAAAAGTGGCACTTTAAAGTACAAATACCCTCAGATTTCCAAGAGGTTATCCTGCAAAGAGAGACCAGACATGAAATTCTTGATATTTTTAAAGTTAAAAAAAGGAAGCAGAGCCTCTGCAGTGCTCAGCCCTTACAAAACTCATACCAACCTACCAAAAACACTTACACCCTCTTCCTAAAGCAGCAAAAAAGACATAAAATGATTTTTAAATATCTTTATTAGGGAGCTTTTAAGTTGCTTTGGGCATTTCCATGTGAAATTCTGCCATAAAGCCAGATCATTCTTACTTCCATTAATGCATTCTTTTGTGTGACTAGAGCAGGTCAATCCATACTAAATGTGTCACATACATTCTAACAGGCTGTATGTTCAAAATGCAGAAACATCACATTATGTTTTGAAAAAATTGTAGAGATTTATAAATTCAGCCCATGGTTGCCACAAACAGCCATTTAAGATGATAATGTTTACTAACATTTTAAATGTCAGCAGACTTTCAATAGAGAAAAGTATAGAGCCAATCATTTAAATTAACAAATGCAAACTTATAATTTTGCAATAAGAAAAATGTAATGTTTAACTGTAAAAATAAAATTCAGATGAAAGACACAATTTGCTAAGTATTCTGTGAGAACCACAAATTATCTTTCACAACCACTGCAGTTCATAAGGGATAATTTTCAAACGCCTGACAGATTATTTTTAGCTGCTTGTTTTGTGAGGCTGAATCCAGGGGTTCCCTACAAAATGTCCATTACTTGTAAAACTATGGACATCTGCTGCTGAAATGAATTATTTGCACAGATTTATTTTGTCCATAAAGGTAACTGATAATCAGTTTCAACAATGCAATACAGAGTATTTCTATAAACATAGTTCCCTCCCACCTCTATACTCTGGAAGAGCCCCTTTAGTCCTCAGAATATCAGGATAGCTTGTCTGCCACTTTTTTTAGAAAGAGAGCTAAAAAATGGATTGTACTACAGGCAGTCCCCGAGTTACGCGGATCCGACTTACGTCGGATCCGCACTTATGAACGGGGCTTTCTCGCCCCGGAGCTCGCAGGCAGCGGGACCGCCCAGAGCACAGCGGTCCCGCCACCTCGACCTCCGGGACGAGAAAAGCTGCTCCAGGTGCCCCTGGTCTGCTGGGGACCATCTCCAGCAGACCAGGGACACCTGGAGCAAAGCCGGGGAGGCGGAGGGGCCGAGGAGTTCTGAGGCTTTGCTCTGGCAAAGCCGGGGAGGTGCGGGACTCCGCCGCCGCTGCCGCTCTGCTCCCAGTGCCTCTGGTCTGCTGGGGACCGTCTTCAGCAGACCAGGGAAACCTGGAGCAAAGCTGGGGAGGCGAGGGGGCCTGC